TTCTAATATAGGCATTTCTCTTAGTGGGGCAAGTACTTGAGTTCAATAGTAGTTGTTAATAATTTAAATAATTTAATAATAATTTTTTAATAAAAATAAAAAAATTTAAATTTAAATTATATGATATTTAGATAAACTAAATAAAAAAAAAAAAGAGAAATTTACCTTTTAAAACTCACCTACCACTTTTGCTCAGAAATTTGTCTTTTAAATAATTTAATAATAATTTTTTAATAAAAATAAAAAAATTAAAATTTAATTATATGATATTTAGATAAACTAAATAAAAAAATAAAGAGAAATTTACCTTTTAAAACTCACCTACCACTTTTGCTCAGAAATTTGTCTTTTCAAACTCACCTACCACTACTTCAGCATTTGCCCAAAACGTGCGTATTATTAATTTTAATAATTTTATTCTATGGATTGATGTTGTTTTCCATATTAAAGACCTTTAAATAGGTTGAATAGGTCCCTCGGATTAATGATTTATTTTCAAATTTTAAATATTTATGTGTAATTAATTAAAAGTTTGATTCTCATTAATGATTTTAAAAAAAATTCTCCTCCCCAAACTCCCCCATATAAAAAAAAAAAAGAAAAAAAAAAAGACCTCTAATTAGGTTATCCAACAAGCGAAACAAATTTACTTGAGAAGGATCCAAACTAATCCACCTAACTAACAAAGCTGTGCATTATAACTTGTGAAATTGAAATGGTCAGCACAAAAACAAAAATCAGTTATAGCATCATGAAATATCAGCAAGAGATCATATATTTTGGCACTCAGCCAGAGACCATACATAAGAAAACAATCAATTTTTTGTATGTGCCAAAGAAGGTAAGTGAAGCAAGAAATTAACTTCTTGTCCTCCACATATGGTTGTTTGTTGAGATGTAACTAGTTAAATTAATCACAATAAGAAACAACTATTTAGGTTTTTTTTATTTATCTCGATTATATAATAGGAAGTAATCATTTTTCATTTTTTATTTCACTTCACCAACATACCATACGATTCAAATTTAAAATTTTTTATTTTTAATGAAAAAAAATAATTACTAAGTTATTTAACTCATGAACAAAACATCTTTTTAGTTATGTTTTAAAACATTATAACTTATAAATGAGAATAATTGTGTACAAGGTAAGATGGAAAAATGAAATTAAAATATTGTATAAATAAGCATA